AATCTAATGAGTCCACAGCCAATGAGCTAATATCTGTTAACTGTGTGCCCCCCTCCCGCCCCCCCAGGGTGGAGGGAAGGACGACTGGACAAAGGAAATGGAACGACACTGGTGGAGGCTCAGAGAGGAAGAGGAAGGAGCAACGATGGGGGAGTGAGGTGTAAATGAACGGAGGGGTGAGGACGCTGAGGGGGGAGAGAATGAGACGAGAGCTGACGGATCATGGAAGTCAAGTGGTTGGTGGCTGCAGAGTGATGGGTGAGGAGGAAAAGGAACGAGGAGCCGAGAGTCAGAGTGACGTCTGACTGAACCACGGCTGGGCTTCCTGACGCCATGAACGAGAGTCAGGGGTTTGATTCCTCCTCGGCTGCTGTGCTACAAACTAATACCAGAAGTAGACGTCAGTACGATGTAGCAGTAAACTGGGACCATGGTTCCTGGACACAGATCCTTGAGGAACCACCGCCCCAGGAGATACAGCAGAAAACACTGTGTTCTGTGAAGAGAGGCGGCGTCTCCACGACCAGCCTGTTCTTCTCCAGTCCAATCACAACGGTGTGTGTTTTTTCTCTGGGTAATCGTCAGATCACTGGAGTCTCTGAAACAGAAATTCATTTCTTTGGCTCTGCAGTCATTTGTTTCTTTCTTCCTCTGTCACAGTCACTCCTCTGTCTACTGGACACCACTGCACACACGGCTAGTTATGAGCAGTTCATCAGGGTAACTGGGATCAACTCAGTGGTCAATAAAAGTTGTTCAATAATTTATTTTCTTTTTTCTAATTAGAGCTGAAGGTTCAAAAATGTTACATTAAAAAAACTGCAACGGTGAATGTATAAATATGATATATATATAATGTTGTCCATGTAGCTGTGTTTCCATCACCTCAGAGATGAACGTATTTAAAAGTGACTCTTCGTGGAAGGAGCCAAGCTTCACAGTTTAAACTGTGGGATTTACCAGGATGTAATCACACAGACTGTGGAACACGGGGGTATCAGGATTAGACCTCTAAACCAGATAATGCCCGTGCCATGTCTGCACCGTGTTCCAAGGGGGATTGTGGGAAAATGATTAGGATCCAGTTTAAAAAACGGACGATCTGTTGGATTTATAAACATGTCTAACGAGCCGTTTACACCTGCTGTGCTCTGTTTACGCCACTAGGTTCGCAGAGTTGTCGGTTAATGACTGTTGATTGATTTTGGCATCTGCTGCGTTGGAGTTACCGTGTGCGTGTGCGAAAACAAACAGCAGAGGGCGTAAGAACAACCTGTTTCCTCTCATAGACCCCGTGAACATTTACATTTCGTCTCTTTTTTTTCTTTTTCTTAAGGAAACGTGTAGTTCTGCTCCTTAGACCACAGTCATAAACACCGTGTCAGTCATTACATCATGAACGCTAGGCTAATTTATTCATTCAGCTTCTAGCACTTAATCCTTTTCAGGGTCACGGGGGG